TGCGCCGGAGGCTGGCGGGGGCGGGGGGCGCTTCGCTCTTCCCTGGGCCGATCTACGCGGTCCCCGCCTGGCCCGCTCGCCCCGCAGCGCAACCCCCCGCCGCCGGCGTCTCCTTTCCCCCGGAGCTGCGCTTCGCACGCTCGGCCACCGCTCCCCGGTGTCTCTGCGCGGAGGGCGCCTCCCCTCCCTTAAAACGCCGATTCCCCCTCTCCCCCGGGCAATCCCAGACCCCGCTTAGCCATGACAGGGGCCCCTGGGTCACCATCAAAGGCCCGCAGCGCAGCCCCCACTTTGCCAGGGACGAGCACAAGCGCCCGGAGGCGAAGAAATTGTAGAGTAACAACTAAAGGCTTTGGCGGGCAGTTATTTTAAGGGCTTTGTTCCGTGCCTGGGGGGGATGCTCCCAATTGTTCGCGAGGGGATTCATCGCAGGCCCCTTTCATGTGAACCAGAGGTTAACAACCTAATGAGCACTTGGTGAAGAGATGAAGCGTGTAAAGAGACCGGTCCCCCCCCCCCACCTCCCCAACTCCTGCTCTGCTGTCCTGGGGATCTGCTACTTTAACCTCCGCGGGGCTAACAGTCTCAGCACGTCCAGCGGGGAGCCCCTAGGAGGCAATCCGGGGTCCAGCCGCGCTCAGGCGGGGCAAAAGCAGCTAGACAGGCCGCTTCCAATGCCCCACCAGGGAGCCACGGGGGCAGAGCCGCGGTGCTACATATGTTGGGTCAAGTCCCCCCATTGTGAGCGTGTAAAAAGGTGTAAAAACTCAATCATCTGTAGCTCTTTAAAGGAAGGGCTTACGCGGGATTTGTTGCATAATGGATTGTTAAAAAAGTAGACGGCTGAATTAAAACTGTTCCCTAGTCACTTTTAATTAGACCACTCTATTTAATTAGCAAAGTTGAAACATGCAATTAAAATTAGCTCAGTTTAGCACATATTTGAAGGGAACCGGGGACGCGTCTCCGGTTCCCGCGAAAGCGAGTGGAAGGAGGAACCGCAGAGAAGTTTGAGTCTGTAAGTGAAATGACTGGGTGGAGGTAACGCACCCAGGGGCCATCTGCCAGACAAGGCACCTTCCTTCCTTCCTTCCTTTAATTATGATTCCTAACGTCACGGGAACCACCGACCCCTGGATGCTGCAGCTGAACGGGGCAAGACTTTCCCTTTTCCATTTGCAACGCAGAAGGGTCGGGGCTGGGTTGAGTTCAGGTATCAGTAGGGGTGGATGCCTAGGGCTGCATTCAAGACATCCGCTCGCTGCCTTTCCCCACTAGAGTGAAGAACCACGAAGTGATGCTAAAGGAGACAACAGATCGAAAACACGGCGAGGCTGGGGACGAGGGGGAAACCATCCCTCGCCATTCACAAGCTCCATGGCTCTCCACTTCAGCCGCACTTTCCCCGCTGGGGAGCAGAGTCCACTAATCCCAAAGGGTTCAAACATGGAGGCGCCCCACTAACGGAATCTCTCCTCCACCATTCAGTGCGCTGGCGAGGTTACCCGTGGGGGGAGGGGGAAGCCAATGTACATTTTAGTGGGGGAGGGTAATTTTCATTCTTGCAATATTGGTTTGGGGATAATTACTTTTAATGTCAAAAAGATTTAGTTTAATATCATCTCTATTAGGCTGCTGGGCGGATAATTAAAAGTGAAGATGATAGCTGCAGGGAAACAGATGGCATTTGCTTACTTTGATTCAGTAGGTAAATAATGAAAAAGTCAATGGCAACCCCCCCTAGAACAATTGAAACCTGAAAGAGCACTAACATTAGCAGGTACTTACAAACTGTCTACTGCTAAGCACGAGATGAAAATACACTAATCGAGAACTATATTTCTCTGGCATGCTGGCTACCGCGCTCTGCTCCCCCCCCCCCTCCATCCAATGAAAGGGCTCTTTTTAATTAAGATTTTATTACTGTATTTGGGGATCGCTGCCTGCCCGCTGCCTGCAGTTACCTTCAGGTTTTGCGGTGTAGCAACGGCCAAGCTAAAGAATGCTTGGAACCAAACAAGCTGCATTCGCGGGCGATGTGAGCACTGGGCCTGGATCAATACGAAGTCTTTTTAGCGTTGTGTCTCAAAAGTTGTATGTAATTAAACCCGAGGGGGGCAATTTAACCCTTCCCGTGTTTTCAAGGCTCCCGGATTCAACCAAATTAGCTCATAATTAGTAATGGGGCTTCTTATTTAAGGAGGAAAAAACCCCACGAAATAGTCCCCGCTCTCTCTTTCGACTTTTAAGGAAGGAAAGTTTTTTTTTTTCCTACGCGCCTCTTCGGGAAATCCGATAGCTGAGCTCCTAGCGTGTCCCCTCGGTTGGAAACGGATTTGTCCACACGGATCAGAAGCGCTGTCAGGGGCCCGAGCCTTTCTCGGCCTGGCATGGGAAGTTTGTTCCCGGGTCAAAGGCGGATTGAAAAGAGGAAGTAAAACTCGCCAAAAGGACCTCATTGTAGTGACACGATCGAGAGGCGTTCTGCGAAAAGTGGCCGGGCGCGTCACACCGACCAGCAGGCCTGGGAAGGACCCTACATCCAGGAGCCCAAACTTCGCAGCTGAAGGACGGTGCTTCCCTGAAACTGCCAGAGAGCAGCAATTCGGCTCAAACTCTGCACCACGGGCCGGGTGTGGGAGGGGGGAATAAGGAAAAATACACCCAGCTCAAGTCCCCCCTACTTGTCCCCATTCCAGTGCGCACTGGGGACAGCACCCTTTCCTACGCTTGGGCCGGATCCGCATTTCAAACTAGCCAAGGTGAAAGACACCGGAGTTTGTGCCTGCACTTCCAGGGGTCCAGGCAACTCGGGCACACAAAAAGAAATTCAGCTCCCGGTGGAAACAAAACCACAAGCCCTCCTCGTGACTTAAAGGGAGTGGAAATAGCCGCCAAAGCCAGAGAGGTTGCATTTTCTTAGGTGTGTAAATCTGGATTTGCCACCCCCCCC